TTCTTCCAAGTAGTAGAAAATATGTTCAGGATTTTCTTTAAATGCTGTATCTGCTTTTCAAAAGCTGGTAAACTTACTCAATTAGATAACAGAATTCGTTGTAATAAATTATTATGGTATTCAACTTTCTTTGATTTTGCAGGGTAGAATTAGTTGGAGTGAAGTTAAATGGGGAATGAGCTGAAGAGACAGACATGTGCTGTGTAGGCCTGGATTTGTATACGGTGAAGGCACATGTATGATCTAAATTGTTGGACCTTTTGAGATTGCATAGGAATAACATTTAAGCAATAGGTCATTAACAAGCTCTTTAACAGTTAATAGAAGTTAAATATCTAAACGTGAGGATGTAGTTGCTAGGTTGCAGTTTAATTTAGAACCCGCTTTTTTAAAGTTTATTTTGAGAGAGACAAAGAGAGAGTGCAAGCAGGGGAGGGGCAGAGAGAAAGGGAGAGAGAATCCCAAGCAGGCTCTGAGCAGCCAGTCCACAGAGCCTGATGTGGGGCTCTAACTTACGAAACCCTGAGATCATGACCTGAGCCGAAATCAAGAGTCAGATGCCTAATCAACTGAGCCCATGCAGACATCTCTAGAACCTGCTTTTTTTCATACAAAAATTTTTTAATGAATATAATTTGTCATCAGATTGGCTTACATACAACACCTAGTGCTCATCCCAACAAGTGCCCTCCTTAGTGCCCATTACCCATTTTCCCTTTCCCCCAGACCCCATCCACCCTTTTTAAGTATAGAGAGAAAACCTTAGAAATTTAAATATTTTGCAGCCTAAACTTTAGGTAGAAAACTATTTGTGCTTTTCAGGGTTTTAAAGGTAAGTTTTAAAGGGAGTTGTATATTAAACTAAGAAAAAGTCTTAGATCTTTGTTAGAAATTAACCAGTCAGGATGGCCCTGAATTACATAGAATACATAAGAGTAGTAACCAAAGTGACACTCCTTTCCACCTATTATTTATTACCCAAAATTTCTTTTGATTTTCCCCTTCATTTAGAAAATGCTCCTATAAGTGAAAATAGAGGGAAAAGAGGTAGAATAGGAGTTATAGCCTATTCCATTAATTTTGTGATTATATTTTTTTCCTCAATGTTTTTAAGTGGCATTTACCAGTATGGGTAAGATTAATTGTTACAATAGAAACCAATTTTCAAATTGGTTTTTAAATTGAGCTATAATATATAAAATCTTATGGTAATGTTCAGATCTGACTTTATGCAAGTGCAGTTTTCATACCCACACCAATTGTCTTGTAATAATTGAAAATGCATCCTCTGTGTGGTGTTTGCAAGTTAATGCTGTTTTAGAAGTTATCCCAGTATATCTAGTGGCTTTTCTGGATGTCTGTGTTTCATTACTGATTATAATTTTATTTTGAAATTTTAGTTTAAAGGGATGTGGCAAGTCCTTTCAGATTCTTAGTTAGGAGTTTTGTTGGAGGTTAGGGATGAATGAATAAGGATGAGCATTTAGAATGAGTAATAGGGAAAGTCATAATAATTAATCAAGGACATACTACAAAAATAACACAAGATCTAATATAAAATGAAGGAGACAGAACATTACAAAGAAGAGTGCCTTAAAAACATACCAGAGAGTGATCACAAATACAAACAAATATGCATATTTAATAAAAAGGAAGAAATCATGCAGGTGGCTTCATATGGCTTAAAGCGTACCAGCCACCTACCTCTTATGAAGGGCAGAGAGGTAAAGCTGTCTTCCAGTGCCTACTGGCTTTTTCTTTCTACCATTTCCTTTTTCTTCTACTGTATTGTATTCTTTTATATATTTCACTTATTCTACCAGTTTTCTGAAATTCAGTCCCTTCTCCAGAATGAGACTTTTCATTTCTACCTGGCATACACAGAATTTTAACCAACTGCTTAATAATGTGCAGTATCTCTAATTAACCATGAGAGAATGTCACTAACAACAAGTTTTTTGTTTGTTTGTTTTTTACATTAATGATTTTAAACATAGAAGCATTTAAGTTCGAGAAAATGTCACTAGAATGGAATTTTGCCTCTTGTTCATTTTCTGTCCCTGGTCTCTAGAACAGTACAAGGAAAATGCTCAATAAATATTTGTTGAATAAATGGCTAAAACCATTAGACTTAGAAGTTCTTTTTAAGATTTATTTATTTAAGTAATCTCTATGCGCAACATGGGCTTGAACTCACAACCCTGAGATCAAGAGTTGCACATTTTTCCAACTAAGCCAGCCAGCTGCCCCTAGACTTAGAAATTTTTTTCTTAACTTTTTTTTTCAAATGTTTATTTATTAGAGAGAGAGAGAGAGAGTGAGAACATGAGCAGGGGAGGGGCACACAGAGAGAGAGAGAGAGAGAGAGAGAGAGAGAGAGAACCCAAGCAGGCTCTACATTCAGCATAGAGCCCGACGGGGGGCTCAATCCCATGACCTTGAGATCATGACCTGAGCTGAAATCAAGAGTTGGACGCTTAACCAACTGAGCCACCCAGGTGCCCCCAACTTAGAAAATTTTTTAAAAACTGTTTATTTTTGAGAGGGAGAAAGAGAGAGAGAATCTGAAGCAGGCAAATTCACTGCACTGTCATTGCAGAGCCCCATGCAGGACTCAAATTCACAAATTGTGAGATCATGACCTGAGTTGAAATCAAGAGTTGGATAGTCAACCTGTGACTGAGCCACCCAGGAGCCCCTAGACTTAGAAGTTTTTAACATCATTTACTTAAATAAATATTTTAGTGAAGAACTTGATAACCTCCAGTGTAGAGCAGTAATATGAAAACAGTGATTCTCAGGGAGAAAGAAACTTTTTTTGACCTGTTCTCCCTTATTCTCTTCTCCCTGTTGTTTTCTGAACAATATGAGAATCTCTGCTACTGAGACCTACTGGAAGAGACTAAAATTAGTATAGGTGGTTCTAAGGAGAGCTGAAGTACATGAGAGATATACATTGGCAGGGTGAGAGAGAGAAGGTTCAAAGGATGAGACTAAGATGCATATTTGAACAAAACAAGTTAGGTATTAGCTAGAGTGTCAGGGCCAATTGGAAGCACAGAGAAGTTGTTAATATAGGCAGTAGGGAGAGATCAGATCCTTAGAGTGTTTGGATTTCATACAGCAGAGGGAGACATTATGAATTATTGGCGAGAGTGACATGATAGTAAGGTGAACACAGTTATTCTACTTAGCTGCTCTTTGTAAAATGGATTATAGCTCGAGGTGAAGAAACATTGGAAACAGTGAACAAAGTCAGGAGATTATTGTAATAGTTTAAAGCACTGTAGCTGTTTTGGTTGGTGTGTTATCTAGTGATACCTTTAGCAAATACCTTTCTTTGAAGTCTCATGACTCCACATTGTGACCTAGGGATGGATGGAGGCAGGGCATTTAAAAAGCAATAGGCCAGTTTTCCAGTACCTACTTCTCTGCTTTCTAAATTCATGATCATGAATAAATACTTCAATTTTTCCTGGGCATCAGTCAGTCACCTTAATTGTAAAATGAGGAAATAATGACCTGAAAGCAGGATCTAGACCAGATCATTTTTTGGAGTCCTTTGCAGTGCACACTTCTTATATCAATTTTAGAGTATCAACAATGAATACCATATTTTGTTTCCTAATATTTCTACAACTAGAGTATTTTAAGAATAAAAACATCCTGGGCACCTGGGTAGCTCAAGTCACTTGGGCATCCGACTTTGGCTCAGGTCATTATCTTGCTGTTAATGAGTTCAACCCCCACGTCAGGCTCTGTGCTGATAGCTCAGAGCCTGGAGCCTGCTTCAGATTCTGTGTCTCCCTCTCTATCCCTCCCCGCTCATGCTCTGTCTCTTTCTCTCTCAAAATAAACAAACATTTTAAAAAAAAGAGTAAAAAAGTCCCATGATATTAAATATTTAAAAAGTTATAATTTCAAGTTTAATATTATGTGTATTGACTGCTATATTTTAAAATATGTATTCCTATTTTTACATGTGCTATGATGAGGTGTTTAGTTTTTTAGTACTATTAGATTGTAATAGCACCCAAGTTGACCAAACCTCAGGTAGGGATACATTTAGAGAAACTTGAAACATGTAAAAATTATTTTAAAAGATATACTATTTTATAAGACTGTAGGAGCAGTAACACTAATAGTGTTTAATTAGTGTTACTAAAATCATTTCTCCTCTTTTTTGCTGTTGAATACACTGTGTGTATATTTATACTCACACATACCTTTCTGTTTAGGAGGTTTTAATACCAGTAACTTTTTTGGGTTCTTTGTCTTTTTCTCTTTCTCTTCTTCTGTCCTTGTCTCTCTTTCTTTCTTTGTTGTTTTCCCTTCTGTTTGAGTCCCCTCCCCCCGCCCCCCCCATCCATCTGGAAAGATGAAGATGCAGCTGCTATGGTAACTATGCATTTCAGTTAATGAATAGCAGACTAACAAGATACATAAAACATATGTAAACTGTGCAGAGTTAGTTGCTGTCAAAGCTGTAGGGGTATGATACTTTCTCTTTTCCTCCTCCCCACCTTCTAAAATAAACCCAACTTTTCTCTTGTATTCTGTTTTCTAATTTACCATTCCTAATAATGAAATGGCTGCCATGAAGTGTTCCTTTTTCTATTTAGTCTGTGCAGTATTTCACCCTGTGGTGAATTTATAGGAGATGAGTTGATGTATACAGAGAAAAATAATTGATTATTGGATTAAGAAGTAGATTTCCTTTAGACTCCTACATAAAAGGACAAAGACAAAAAATTTTACTAAATATTTGGGGTTTTTTGACCTATAACCTCTTTTCTTTCCCCTTACCTTTTGGCCACTAGTGCCCCTTTTGAGGTTCTCTCTGGGGTTAGAACTTGTAAGTAGTATGTTTCTTGAATATGTTTCTATCATAAAGGCCAGCTGCAACTGGAATATTGCATTCAGCCAAGCTTTGAAAATTCCTGTAATCTGTGCCATCCTGTCTCATACTGTCCCATCTCATAGTTGTCCTCTCTCTGCAGTGCTCTATGCCCAGGTCTCTGTGGCTGGGCTGCTCCAGCCTGGCGGACAGCATGCCTTCGCTGCGATGCCTGTATAACCCAGGGACTGGCGCACTCACAGCTTTCCAGGTACTTTCTCTGTCTCTGTGGGTTATTTGCGGGCCTTAGTGTGCGTGTCTGATTCATTAGCGGCTTCTCGTCCTTTCCTATGCTTTACTTTTGGTCACTTTCTCTCCTTCATATTGCCTGTGTTTCACATTACTCAGCACTCTTTTAATTATTCATAATTAATTTTTAATGTAGACCCAGCCTGATCCACTCTTAAGACATTTGTATTATTGTGATTGGTTTGCCAGAATTGACATAGCACAACCTGACTGTTAGTTTTCCTATCTAGTAGAAGTATGATAGTGAATTTTAAAATAATTTCAACAAATAGCATTTATTATGTAATGTTTGCTCTGGACTTACATAAAGCCAATTAATGTAATTAGTCAATTACAGCCAGTTGCCTGAACACCTTGTGTTTTTCTTATGATTACTAAAAATTAAAAGTGCTCTATTCAGAGTGTCTCCTGGTTGCTATACAGTTGTATAAAGTTTGGGGTAAGATCTGTGTTTGTTTATCTCTTGATTAACAAACAGTCTAGTTTCAAGGTGGAAAGGCCTTTGAAGACCTTTGAGTATGATAATTTAGCTTGAACAGTCTATTTTGTCTTGCATGAAATGACAGATTCTAGTTCCCTTCAGCCTTTCTTAGAGACTATCAGGACAGTTCTAGGATGTGAGAGAAATCTATACAGAGAATGGAAAATTTGTAGAGAAAAATGTAAGAAAGAGCTTGATGCCCATAGCTTACAAATTTGGGTACTTTATGTGGTGATTTTCTTGGCAGAAATGTTATCTGTCCACCTCAGGTATTTGCAGTTTGTGTTTTAGCATTTGATAGCAATACACAACAAGTTAGCTTTTTGTTTGTTTCTAACCTATGTAGTTCATAATCTATTTAGAAGAATTTCAAAGGCAAGCTGTAAGTAAGCATCAGAATGCTTAGAGCTATCATCCTAGAAGAGAGGAAGTTAAGTATTCCACATTCTGAACTGTGTGGACAATTGCTAGTCTTTAATGATCCGATTTTAGTGGTGATAATGCTAGATATTTGCATTTGTTTTTTGCAAAATATAGTATTAAATTTCCTTTGCTAATCTTAAGAGATACAATATAGGAAAGTGCATAGGCCTTAAAATTAGTTAGATCAGGGCTTACATACTGTCTTTGTCACTAGTATGATCTTGTGCAAGCCATTTCACCCTCATCCTTGTGTTCCTCATCTGTAAATAGAGACTGCAGTAAAGGCACGCAGTAAATAATTCCTGTTTTTATCATCTTTATCTTCATCATTATTAACATTGTTGCTATTACTGTTAGAGAATATTACTCTCCTATCAATTTATTTCAAATATTATAAATTTTTTTTTTACTACATGTCATATTGATAAAGTTTCTGCTCACGAGGAACTCCTGGTCTAACCTGTGGGGTTTTAATCTCTTTCGGGTTGTAATAAGTTTAGCCAAACTCCAAACTCCAAGAGAATAGTCACTGCAAGACTGCCCTCATTTCAGACACCAGTTGCCAGTTTAGGAGTCCCCATGACCACATTCATGCTTGAGAATTCACTAAAAAGGACTCACAGAACTCACTGAAAGCTATTATAATTTATTACAGGGTGAGGATACAGGTTAAAATTAACCAAAGGGAAGAGACACATAGGGCAGATTCTAGAGGGGACCAAGTATAGAACTTCCTGTCATCATCTCCATGGATTCATGAATGGCGTTACTGCCTCCTGGCCATAGTATGTGACAATACACACAGCATACTGCCAGCTAGGGAAATTTACCCAAGTTTTGTTGGGGCTCAACTACAAACTGCCTGCATGGCTGACTGTTAGTCTTTAGCCCCTCCTGTAGGTCACACCTAATGTTTTTCGCCTCAGTTCCTCTCAGGATAGGAATTGAGAAAGTATAAGTCACATTTGTCCAATGGCCAGAAGCCGCAGAAAGAAAGACACTCCTGTTGGGTACAAAGTTCCAGAAGCCTAGATACCACCTCTCAGTAGCCAAAGGCAAAGGCCACACCTCTCTTTGGTATAGTTAATTCTTCACTACGCAGGGGTCATGGACTACTTTGAGACTCTAGTGACAACTATTGACCTTGGGAAAAACTGCATATGACACATAGGCAATATTTTATTTAATAGCTATATGTATGGTTATTATATTTATATTAAATCATATAATCCTCAAAGTACAAACTCCCAAACTGAAAAATCCTATCACAGAAATGTAGAGGAGCTGTAAGAATATACAGTCAAAAAGAACTTGATCTGACCTGAGGATGAGGGTAAGGAAGATCAGGTAATGTTTGAGTTAAGGTCTAAAGGATAAGTAGGAATTGATTAGGCAAAAGAAGGGAAGGGAAACACATTTCAGGCTTAAGGAAGAGGCAATGCAAAGGCCCTGGTGACTGGTGGAGCTTGGTGAATTTAAGGCCTCGACTGAAAAAAGACTCTTAGTTCAGAGAATGAGGAGAATGGAGCTAAGAAAGACTGGGAAGCTTGATCATGCAGGATTTGTGGGCCAGGTTAGTCTTGATGCTGAGAAGAGCAGTAAGCTGTTGAAAGGTCTTAAACACAAGTTTTGACCTGATCAGATTTCCATTTAGATGCATTACTCTAGCTATCACAAGGGTGATTTCAGTAATTGAAGAGACACACTGTGGCAGTTTGGTTTTGGTCTGGAACTCCTTTGCATCGTAAAAAATTATTGAAGACAGCAAAGTGCTTTTGTTTATGTGGGTTATATATATATACTGATAGTTACTATTTGAAATTAGAACTGAGAAAAATTTTAAGTACTAATTAAAGTATCTGTAATAAACCCATTAGATACTAGTGCAAATAATGTCTGAATTAATAAAAGACAGCTGGATTCTCATTTCTGTTTTCCTCATTCAGTCTGTTGTGATGTTGTGTTTTGCTTGAAATATATGAAGAATACCCAGCCTCACACCGATAATATAGTTTAAAAAGAGAGTGGTGCTTTAATACCCTTTTCAGTTAGTTGTAATTTCTTTTTTTAAAATTTTAATGTTTATTTTATTTTGTTTTGTTTTATTTTATTTATTTATTTTTTTTGAGAGAAAGAGACAGAGTATGAGCAGGGGAGGGACAGAGAGAGAGAGGGAGACTCAGAATCTGAAGCAGGCTGCAGGCTCTGAGCTGTCAGCACAGAGCCCATTGTGGGGCTCAAACTCACTAACCATGAGATCATGACTTGAGCTGAAGTGAGACCAGCTGAACCACCCAGGCACCCCAGTTAGTTATAATTTCTTAAAGATGAGCTGCAATATAGAATCTGAAACATATATACTTTTTGTGCTCTGTTACACAGATGCATTGGTCACAATCTTTTCAACAAATCATGATGGAACAGTTGGACATCTGTGTGCAAAATAATGAATTTCAAATGTTACATTGCACCATGTAAAAAAATTAACTCAAATTTGATCATAGACCTATATATGAACTAAAATTACAAAACTAATAGGAGAAAACGAGGGGAAAAAATCGTTGTGACTTTGGGTTGGCAAACCACAGTGAGATACTACATTACTCGCACATGCCTCTTCTCTCCCTGGATGTGGGGATTGGGAAATCAGGAGACTCTAGGCAGTTACTATATCCTTGTTTAATATGAGAGATGTTGGGCTAGAAAATTCTTTGAATGTAGAAGCAATCTTTTATATTTATCAGTTGACTTTCACAGTGTTCTGTAGAGTGATCTTTAGTATTTGGGGCCCAATAAGTACTGATGATTTGAACTATGTTAGATCAGTGGTAAAGATAGTCATATGCAATTAAAAATCATGTAAGTTAGGGGCACCCAGGTGGCTCAGTCGGTTAAGCCTCTGACTTCGGCTCAGGTCATGATCTCACAGTTTATGATTTTGAGCCCTGCGTTGGGCTCTGTGCTGACAGCTCAGAGCCTGGAGCCTGCTTCGAACTCAGGACCTTCAGATTATGAGACTGACTCCCTGCCTACTGTGCTAAGGAGGCAGGTGCCTGGAGCATGCTTCGGAAACTGTGTCTCCCTTTCTCTTTGCCTGTCCTATGATTGTTCATCTCTCTCTCTCCCCCTGCCTCAAAATATAAATAAACATTAAAAAATTTTTAAAAATTGTATAAGTTAAAATCATCTGACTTGGACACCAAGATACCAAAAAAATTCAAATTTTCATTTTGTCTAAAGCAGTCTTGAATCTCCGGTCAGGTAGGAAAGAATTCTGAAATTTACTGTCACTCTCAGGACTTTCTCTATTTGTTCAGGACTTTCTTTTTTTGTTTTTTGAAGATTTTATTTTTTAAGTAATCTCTACACCCAAAATGGGGCTTGAACTCACAACCCCGAGATCAAAACTCACATGTTCTACTGACTCGGCCGGCCAGGCATCCGTTTCTATTTGCTCTCAATTAAAAATTAACAAATATTGGGGCGCCTGGGTGGCTTAGTCGGTTAAGCGTCCGACTTTCGCTTAGGTCATGATCTCGCGGTTCGTGGGTTGGAGACCCGCGTCGGGCTCTGTGCTGACTGCCAGCTCAGAGCCTGGAGCCTGTTTCAGTCTGTGACTCCCTCTCTCTCTGACCCTCCCCTGCTCACGCTGTCTCTCTCTCTCCTAGAAATAAATAAAACATTAAAAAAAATAATAATAAAAAAATAAAAATTAACAAATATCTATAAAAAATTTCTTTAGTCTCCTTATAAGTTACCACTTCTAGAATATATTTGGAGGAATGTTGATTTAGTGATTTTGCTGGAAAAATCAGGAATAAATTGGGTATATGGACCTTAAGGTATATTGCAAGAGTAAAATTGTGTGGCACAGGCAGAAAAGAGGTACTTAAGAAACATTTTAGAAAAGCAAGCCAGGGGCACCTGGGTGGCTCAGTCAGTTAAGCGTCCGACCTGGGCTCAGGTTATGATCTCATGGTTTGTGGGTTCGAGTCCTGCATCGGCCTCTGTGCTGACAGCTCAGAGCCTAGAGCCTGCTTCGGATTCTGTGTCTCATT